GTTTTTGGACGAACAAGAAACTCTACAAGAAGGATTGGATTACGTAGACCGTTTTCTAAAAAAATAGGTATGGCACTGAGCCTAGCTAAAACAGCCATACTTCCGTTTACATTGAAAAGACGTGGAAATTTCCAGATTATTCTGCAAAATCAGCCTATTCAAACGGTCGAAACTCATAAATTCTTGGGAGTAATTTTAGACCGGAGACTAACTTGGTTGCCTCATGTACAGTCCCTGGAACAAAAAGTGAATCAGGCCATTCGAATCCTCCGGCATCTCTGCGGGGCCAAATGGGGTGGTACCACAGAGTCGTTATTAGCCCTACATGTTGCCTGGATACGCCCCATTGTAACTTACTCCCTGCCTCTGCTGCACGGACTTCCAACCTCCACCAAAAGGAGACTTCACTTGTTATTGGCAAGGAGCTTGAGGGTATGTCTGGGTTTACCACGGTCAAATTCCAGTGCTTTAGTGTATGCGGAGGCTCGAGAGTCACCTTTGGCCGTACTCCGAACTAAAGAAACATCTCGAAATTTATTTAGAATTTTCACGCAACATGAAAGTCATTTTTTATCTGGTGCACTAACACAAAGGGCGGCAACGAGACTACAGGATACTATAGCATAATTTCAAGCAGTCGTACCAGAATTTATACAATGGAACCTTCAAAACCACCTTGGACGCTGCCACTTCTCAACGTTATCCGTGAAATAGACGGCATAGAGAAGAAAGCAGACATGACACCTCCAGTAGCGGCACAGTTGGTACTTAATCAGCTTGATGTAATGCATAATGAGAAAAACGAAGATATATACAGACGGATCATGCACAGAAGACGCGTCAGCCTGTGCGGTCATTACACCCGAAATCCAGAAAAAGAAGATGTACAATATATCGCACAAATCTTCATCGACGAAAGCAGAATTGGTGTCTATCTTTGAAGCAGTTAAGCTTATCTGCGAGAATTCTGAGTTACGAAAAGGGTGATATGCACTGATAGCAAACCTGCTCTTCAGCTAATCAGAAATGTGAGATCACCTTACAAAAAAGGTCAAATAGCACAATGTATTGCAGAAACTGTGGAATATGCCTCATCGCAGGGTCACAACATCGTATTTCAATGAATACCCAGCCACATTGGAATAAAGGGAAATGAAGATGCTGATAGCCTCGCGAAGAAAGCATTGAAGGAAGGACGGGATTGCGCAATCCATATGTCTGGGGCGCATATTCGACATTTTATATCACAAGGCACTAACCATTGTTCGATGGAAAAGTGGTTTGAGAGCCCTAAATCAAAGGAAGCGGTACTTTATGAAGTTGATCTACACAGAAAATTTTCCATAGCGACAGACCTCCCACGACAACTAGAGACATTATTCCACCGACATAGATTGGAAGTAGCATACACAAACAGCTTCCTGCACAAGATACATCGATCCAACTCACCGGAATGTCATCGTGGTTATGCAGAAGAAAAGTGTTCGCCATATTTTTTTGGAGTGCGTTAAATACGCGAATTAAAGAGAAAAAGTAAAGAACAAATTAGCAAGTTTAGAGAGACGGCCCCTCACAATAAAGACACTACCTGGACCATGGCCTGAGATGCATCTCCAGAAAAAGGCAATAATCTTCATGACAGACTTTTTAGTGGAGACCGGACTGGACAAGCGCCTATGACTGACAGCCAGAGATGGGTGTTATATAAATTGTGGTCATGTATATACTGACATTAGATTAGTAAGGTGTGCGTGTAAGTAGTTTACGACTGTGTGAACTGCGCGAGGAAAACTGTGTATTGGCATGATATTTGAACTGGTTTCAGTGTGCTATTATGTTTTTTTCTTTTCCGTATTGTTATTTTTGGGTACCGTTCTGTATTATTATTTTATTTTTCGCTGCAGAGCTTTGTGATATGGAGTAGCCGAGACAATAGGCACCTCAACCTCTCCACAGCAAAACAGTCAAAAGAGAACAGAACAGAACAGACCTGCATAATTTTGATCATCACTCTGATCCCAAAATTTTTATTACTTCTTTTATTTGCATTTATCGTCAATTTTCAATGATGGACAAGACGATTTTTCACTCAAGACAACTGACGCCTACGCCGGAATTTCCGCTGAGCGAGCTGTTTACCACTGTTGCGTTAATGATGCTGTATTGGTAGAACGGAAAGTGGGTTACGTGTACAAAAGACATATTTATTGACCCATTGGCAAGAAATATTGCTAATAGTCTCCGTTTCTATGCGTAAAGAGACCTGTAGACACCAGTTTTAGCAGTGACGCTATAGGCCATTCCTAGTCACAATGCTTGTACATGACAAGCTTGCATGCATACAAATCACTTTTGACCGAACTTCATGAAGGTTGATTATCAAGTTCTTTGAATTATTCAATGCACACGCGAGTCATAGGTCAACAGCAAGGCAATATTTGTTTTCGACTCACTATGGACGCTCGATTGACTCGCCAGAAATCTTTGAAATAAAAACACTGAAAAAATCTTATTACGAAACTCAAATAGCGATTGAAGTTTTTTCATAATATTTGTAATTGTCAAGTCGGAATCGACAGAGCGAAATATTTACTTGCACCGATCTACGTCTCAGACCACATTAGCCATACGTTCAAGATAGGAGAAATCACAGGCAAAAGTGACGTATATCAAAATGATTGTTTACCAAAGCAATCAGTGAATAAAACCAACCACCATTGCCTCTAGCATCTCAAATGATTTGTTTTATGTTATGTTAGAATGAGTGTATTGAAATTTTTCTTGAGTGTGTTGCATTTTTTGTTTATATATTTATTTGTGTTGTGAATTCTGATTAAGGCGACTTTGATTATTTGTTTAGCTGACTATGCACCTTTTTGTATCACACTTTTTGTAAACGATCTCCCACTGTAATGCCAATTCGCACTCTTAATAATAAAATAAATAAATAAAGTGCCAATAAATAAGCAATAAGTTTAAACACAATGTATCTCTTCGGAAAAAGTGAACTAAAAGTGACATGAGCCCAACAAAAACTTTAAATAAGTTGCCAAGTTACATTTAGCAATAATTTCTTGAGAATAACTTCAGATATAATGAGAATAACATGAACAAGACTGTTGAGAGGATACGTACAACCTTTGTTTTGGAGACGATGGTGACTGCACGCAGACCTTTCAACAAACGGCAGTATTTCTAGATGTAGAATGCCATTGTGGGTTATTATTTTTGCAGGCGACACAGGCTGACCTAATGTAGATGAATAATCAGAACAGCTATACACAAAACTATATACATAGGCCCATGTTAACCCTTACATCGATATATATATATATATATATATATATATATATATATATATATATATATACAAGATTATCGTATCTGGCAATATACAACATCGTTCATATATGGCTATATAAGAGATTAGCTATATCAGGAATTGGGCATATAAGGTGACCTGAGGCCCATATATGGCGATTCCATATAGAGCCTCATATGCCCGATTCCTGATGTAGCCATATATGAGGATTTTTATACAGGTTCATATATGGTATTTTCGTAAAGAATAACCTTCGATGTTCATATTATCTTAAAACCTCTCAACAATATCACATCAGTAGCAACCTTAAAAAACCACGACCTACCTGTGCACCCAAAAGACCCCAAACCTTCGTTTGTACCATATTGTGGGACCGAATATAGGCAGCACTACCTCAAACACAATTTCCTAAAAATTCTAAACTCTCAAACTATCTCGCGAGATATGACGAGATAACTAAAATCCTTGTGAGATTACTAAATTGTCTCGCAAAAGATATATTTCGCTAAAATGTAAGCATGGACACGATATATTCATGTATAACGATGTAAACCAAATGAACGTGTTTTGTTTGAACGCAATAATATTTAAGCAAATATGTGTACCATTGAATGTCAATCACCCTTTAATGAATCATCTGAGAGTCCAATTCGTGTTGTACTAAAAGATTTATGTTCCAGCACTTTCATGAGCAAGGCCTCCTGGGCCCAGTCAAGCTGCTGACGGCTGGTTTCAGCCCCGGAGGACGTTTCTAGATTCTTCTAGAAAAAATAATAAAGTTGAAGTTGATATTGCCCTTTGGAAGTGCTAATATTTCTCTGCGGGTAACTTAAACATGTGCTAATACAATAGTGCAGCCTTTCTGTTTACGTTTGTGACATTGATTTTCTTCAAGGTTTAAGAGAAAATATTTGTGATTTTCATTTGATTGTAACCTGGCTGTCATTTCTATGGCACGTACTCACTCTTCAGTTATTCAGCGTTTACGCGAAATCCCAAGGGATACATAATTTATTTGCCCTCCTGCCAAGCATGGTCCAGAATAGTTTTTGCAAATTTGCTTGTCTGTTGTCTATGACTTTCTGACACTAATTTTGTGAGTTCGAAACAAATACCTAGTTGCTGCAAAATGGTCTTTTTTGTCTTTGTCAAGTTGTAAATGTGAAAGCCGCCATGCACACCTACCTTCTCGTGAATAAACATTCGCGCTTGCCGCTGCTCTAGATTTACAAGCATATAGGCTCTCGAACACTAAAATTTTCAAATTAAGCCGCATTGGCTGTCCAGTAGTTATGGTGCTCAGCTCCTAACGCCAAGGACAAAGGTTCATTGTCTGCGTCGACGCTAGAATTTTGATGGAAGCAAAACTATACAGCCGCGTGTAGTTATCGTGAGATGCCCGTGCTCGCAAAACATCTCAAGCTAGTAACAATGAACTCTAACACGTTTTTATGACCTGTCCTATAGCCTGCTTTGCTTTAGTGCATTAAGCTCTGCAAACAAACGACATTTTCAAATAGCAGAACGTATCAAAAACATACATACTACAATAAACCGTGAAGGCAACAAGAAAAAAAATATCTCATTTTTTGTACTTGAAGTAACCAGCCATGGCAAGGAAAATCATTGGAACGTGCCACAGCCCAATCGACTGCTTTTTTGTTTTTTTTTATTTCAGACGGACTATGTATGGTTACGTTGACTGGAGGCAAGTAATTGTCAATGGTATGGTTTCATCATTTAGTTATGAAATTTAGGCAGTGACCTTGATAGTCGTATTGTGGGTTGAAAATTAGTAAAAGGCGTGTTTTTACACTTTAAAAAAATTTCGTGAGGTAAGACTTTGTAGAGGCACTTCTCAATGAGAATTATATCGCGCACGGCCCACGGACATCAGAATTTGTCGCTGAACTTAGATATAGAAATGTAGAATTTTAGTTGGTGCTGACTATAATGCAAAACATTGCAAGTTAGAATATTTTTGTCTACAAAGTCGGTCTAGCACACATGTAACACATTTATTCAATTCAACGAGTTTCTTACCAAACCAAAGAAACTTTAGGCCTATCTATTTATCTATCTGTTCACATAAATTTGTGTGATCTTGGGACCAACTCAAGTTAGAGTAGACGAAAATTAGTATAGACGTGTAAGGGGTATGACGAGTATGACTGTCTTGCCATGTTACGAACAATGTGAAAGTCACGTTGAGTGCAACACCAAACCTTTTACGCCAGAGATGAGTGACACGTATCAGTATACCACAGCTTCCCATATTCGTGTATTAGCTGCCAGTGTTTCACAGCTTACATCGACCGAGAAACAAGAGAACCAACATTGTTAACTGCGATTGCACAAAGTAAAAATGACATTTGCAGCGTTGACCAGACGAACACAAGGAATAAATGTTCTGGTCTTTGCAAGAATCGCACCCGCAAATTTTGTATGGCAATCAAGTAATACACCACACAGCCAATCCAGCGTAAACAACTGCTTCACGAAATTACCCTATACAAGCGTAACTTGGGTAAAACGTCAATGGTAGTTAGTCGCAATGGTGTCAATAGAATGTTATGAATATTACATACGTATTTTAGTAATATAGGCGTCACATCGGGTCAGCGTCAAGTTTACTTAGGCGCCACGCACGGATGTTGGTCTTCGTTAGCTATTCAGGGCTACTATCTTCGCAAGCACAAGCTCTGCATTTCACAATGCCGCTTCTGGTGCTGGTAATACCCATCTTTCTCTTTTAATTTTTGCGCAATAATAAACAACTAGTCATACAAAATTATAATAATCATCATTATCATCAGCCTTACTCCATCTACTGCAGGACAAAGGACTCTCCCATGTTCCGTCAGTCACCTCGGTCAGTCGGGCCCAGTGGCATAAAACATATGCCACTGTTTTAACTGTGCCTGTGCTAACAACGTTTGCACAAATGTTTAGAGCCATTTCGCAACGTTTCACTCAATCAAAAGATTACAGCACAGCCACCGTCTCTCCGCAACCTTTGCATGATAAAGACTCCCCTGGCACATGCGTTCTCTCAATTATTTTAATAATTTTTGGTCTATATCAAGCTAGCAAAATGCTGCCAGCGCACCATCAGAGGAGCATTCAAGTAATAACATAAACGACATGCATGCCATAATTTTTGTCTTACCTGCCATCTGTACCTCTTATATTGTCAAGTCATGCAATAGAAGTTTTGGCGTATATAAAACTTGCACTAGTGCAATACCTAAACTCAAGTAATCTGAGCGGCCCCCGGTAGAGCGAATTCGCACGCCCAAGTGTGCTCGTTAATATGTGTATCTTTCTTCCTTCTCTTCTATCTATTTTACCCTCTTTATGTCTTGCCCCATGGCAGGGTAGAAAAATGGACGCGAGTCCGCTTAACCTCCCCGTCTATCCTTGCGCCTACCTCCCTATTCCGTATATCAGCCATATTTACGCATACACCCAATAAAGTGGATGAGCACATAGCCACCCGAGTAGCTCAGTTGGTAGAGCATCAGACGCGTTATTCGATGGTCGCAGGTTCGGTTTCTGCCTACGGCAAGTTATCTTGTCTTCCACTTTTTATTCATATATACATTACGATTACCTCACATAAAATTGCCTACCCTTTCCTTGGAATAATTTTCTGTTGCATCTCCTTAATATTGTGTTCAACAAAAAAAAAAGCGAGCCTTTAGCATACACTTCGTACTCTCAATCTTGCGATATTGGCGGGAGCAGACCAAAAGCGTAGCTAGTAGGTCAGGCATACATGATGATGATGTTTGATGTTTTATGGCGCAAGGGCCGATTCACGGCCAAAGAGCGCCAGTTCATCTTACTAAAAAATATGGACAATGATTGTGATAAGCGGCTGTATAAGGGCCATAAAATTCCTCGCAGTAAGGCGGGTAAAAACATACAGGTAATAAAATCATGACCATGCCGTGAAAGGTGTGTGTGATGTGAACAGATGACAAAAGTTGGTGATAATAAAAGACGATGGTGGATATGTATGGCAATAGCACAAGTGCCTCACTCGTTCAAACCCTTGCGTCCAAGGGCCGTGAGGCATGTGCTTTTTTGTGTAGCCACCGCAGCAAAAACCTCTCTGGAGAGGTCCTGCTACGGTATGCCCGGGTATATGACATGAAAGCTGTGAATTTCTTTTAAAAACGCTAACAATGAATTATGACTAAAAAGTGGTTCTCTACCGACAAACATTGCAGGGTGTAAAGGTATATGTTGTCGGTAGAGTATTGGAAAATGTTGTTTTCTAAGAGTTTCTAAGTGTTTACACTGAATTAACATGTGAAGGACGGTTAAGTATTCCCCACATCTGTCACACAATGGTGGATTGCCACCAGACAAAAGGTGTGTGTGTGTCGTGTATGTGTGTCCTATCCTGAGTCTTGTTAGTGTTACCTCTGTTAGACGCGATTTTGATACTGGTAGCCAATGACCAAGGTGTGGCTTGATAACGTGTAGTTTGTTTTGTGTGTGTGTATCCCACTTGCTCTGCCAGTAGTCCCTGAGTTTTCGTTTGAGAGACGGCTTAAGATCAAGGACCGGGATTGATGTCGGTGTAACGGCGGTGCTTTCGTGGGCGGATGCAGCAAGCTGATCCGCCATCACGTTGCCTTGAATCTCACGGTGCCCTGGCACCCAGCACACAACAACATGTCTGTTGAGTGTGTAGAGGGTGCATAAAATGGAGTAAAGTGAAACGAGGACAGGGTTTTTTTGTTTTTTAAGACTGTGCAGAGCCGTTACCACACTGAGGGAGTCTGTATAAATTACTGCTTTTTGTATTTGTGATTGTTTGATGTGTTTAGCTGCCACAAGTATCGCGTAAGCTTCCGCTGTGAAGATACTTGTGCCTGGATGTAGAGGGCCAGCATCCGAAAGGAAGGGCCAACAGCAGCGTAGGACACAGAAGAGTTAGACTTAGAGGCATCTGTGAAAAACTCAGGACGTGTGTATTTGTATTGAAGTTCCAAGAAGTATGTTCGAATATGGGCAATAGGCGCATGTTTTGTAACTTCTAAAAAAGACACATCGCAATCTATAGTCTGCCACTGCCACGGTGGCGGGTATGCAACAGGAGCCATTAAACTGTGTTCAAGTGATACTGCAGTTTCTTCAGCTAGACCCTTCAGGCGAACTGAGAAGGGCTGCCTCATTGAAGGCCTGTTTTGAAAAAGAATTGAGCTCGATAAGTCATTAATAGTAGAGTAGGAGGGGTGCCTCTTGTCTGCTTTCACCTTAAGGAAATATATAAAGGACATGTAGGTTCTTTGCAGATGAAGGACCACGCATTTGACTCAACGTAAGGCTTTCTACGGGCTGGTGCGAAAAGCACCCGTAGAAAGGCGGATGCCCGAATGGTGCACGGGATCCAGCATCTTCAAAGCACTTGAGTCGCTGACTGATAAACAATGGCCCCATAATCTAAGCGGGTGCGAATAAGGCTTCTATACAGGTTCATGAGGCATTTCCTGTCACTACCCCACGTAGTACGTGACAACACTTTTATAACATTCATGGCTTTTAAACATTTGTTTTTAATACTTTATGTGGGGTACGAAGGTCAACTTGTTGTCCAAGATTAAGCCTAAGAATTTATGCTCGGCTTTGACGGACAGTTGTTGCCCGTTCAGTTGAATGTCGGGTTCCGAGTGCAGGCCTCTCTTTCGAGAGAACAAGACACATGTGCTTTTTTGTGGGTTAAGTCGAAATCCGTTTTCATCTGCCCATTTGGAGACCTTATTTAAACCAAGCTGAACCTGCCGCTGACACATGGCCAAGTTGCATGACTTGAAGCCAAGCTGAACGTCGTCGACATATGTACAATAGAACATATTGCGAGGGATGGACAAGTGCAAGGAATTCATCTTGATGAGAAAAAGTGTGCAGCTAAGTACACCACCTTGTGGCACGCCTGTTTCCTGGACGAATGTTTGGGAAAGAACCGTGCCCACTCGGACACGGAATGTCCGGTTTGACAGGTAACTTTCGATTATGTGAAACATTCTTCCCGCGCACGCCAAGGTGGGACAGGTCTCTTAGAATTCCGAAACGCCATGTTGTATCATAAGCCTTTTCGATATCGAGGAATACAGAGAGAAAATATTGTTTATGGACGAAGGCGTCCCTGATCTGTGCCTCGATACGAACAAGGTGGTCTGTGGTGGATCTACTTTCTCGAAACCCGCACTGAAATGGATCGAGCAAATTGTTTATTTCAAGAAAGTGTACAAGTCTGCAGTTTATCATTTTTTCAAAGATTTTGCACAAGCAGCTTGTGAGTGCAATAGGCCTATAACTGGAAGGTAAGGAAGGGTCCTTGCCCTCTTTCAAAACGGGAATTATAATAGCCTCTTTCCAGGAGTTAGGGATAGTGCCAGAAAACCAGATAGCATTGTACAAACAAAGTAAGGTTTTTTCGCGTTTCGATCGGCAGGTTTTTTAACATTTCATAAACGACACGGTCAGAACCTGGGGCAGAAGTACTGCAGGAGTTTAGGGATGTTCGGAGCTCAGCTAGACTGAACGCTTGATTATATGCCTCGTATCCAGTGCATTTGTGTTCGAGTTTCTGCTTTTCTATTCTTGTTCTGTATTTTTGGAAAGTGTCAGTATAGTGGGATGAGCTGGACACCTGTTCGAAGTGTGCACCGAGGAAGTTTGCCTGATCTTCCAAGGTGTCACCCTGAGTG